TCTTGGCTCTGGTGAGCTTTTTGCGGAGATCCAAAGGCTTGTACTTCTTGTTGGCGTAAAACTTCTTCAAGTTCTGCCTCTGTGTCTGACTAATGACAGTCTTGACTCGAGCGACGCTCTTCCTGACAACTTTTATCTTTGAGAGCTTAGAGGCCGTCCCTCCCGTCACTTTCTGGACTTGTAGCTGTGATAGCTCATTCTTTAGCTCGTCCAGCTGCTTCAGCAACTCGTCCTTAGTCTTCCCTCTTAGTTCACGAACTTTAAGTTTCCCCATTGTGTTAGGAATGAGACTCTCTCCCTTTTCTCTCCAACGACTACACGTGCTCTGTGGTCAGACTGCGCATGCGCAGGAAAAGAATTAAAAATGGCCGCCGGGAAGAAAGGAGTTGCTCTGTTGTTTCTCTTCTCTTGTCTCGCTCTTGCTGTCTCCGCTTGCAATACTGGCGGGGATATATGCTTCGACTACGTCGAAGAGACCAATAACAAGAACCAGTCGTGTCTTTTCCTTGATGCGGAGATCACAATCTTCGTGGCTTATAATAACTCAGAGGGAAAACTACGAAACGCTTCTTTGCCGGTCAACTGCTCTACCGTCAATGTCAGTGACAGTGAAAGCTTTTGTAACAAGCCCTACACTAACAACAATAAGAATATGAGGCTAACGCGTATGAAAGCTTACTGGGGCACGGTAGATGAGGAGGAGGAATCTGCTCCATTTGCTCTCATAGTTGAAGCTATTGATCTCAATGAACACAAACAATGGAACATTAGTTTGATTGCAGTGTCGCTAAATGTCAGCCATGTCCCGAACTACAACGCTAGCAGTTTCACTGGCAATGAGACTGGTATTATCAGTGGTTATTACACAGGAGATGATAAGAATCATGAGCTATTTGGCACTGTTGATTATAATAAGTTCTACTATTGCGACGGTCAACAAACTTACTCTTTAACCATGAACAAATCATCTAACCTCCATGCTTCGCATTTCGCTCTCAGCCTCAGTATCAAGAAGCTGAGGGTACAGGCTTACGGAAGCAGTAACAGCTTCAGCGACAAGTGTTCTCACTGCTATCAAGATAGCACTGGTAAGGCTTTTATACCGATTGTGGTCGGATCTGTCATTGGTGGACTGGTACTGGTGGTTCTTGTGTCTTACATTGTGGGACGGTTTAGAAACCATTATAAGAAGTCGTCAAGCACTGGGTACGAGAAACTCCAGTAACAATAATATGATATTATATGCCAAATTTATCATGATTACTATTATTACTATTATGAGTCTTGCTATACCGTAATGTTATTATTATTATCATTATTGCTGTTGTTCTTTTGCTCAAGCTTTTTGAAAGATAATTTTATCAAAATTAGTTGTTTATTGTTGTAGCGTTTGGCAAACATGAAAAATTTTCAGTTTCATAATTATTGTTAATTAACAAATTCAGTAAGAGATCTGATGGAGGATTGGAGGTATTAAAGAAGTTAATTAATATTAATAATTATAAACTAGGAGGAGATTAGGCAACCCATGATAGCTTTTTCATAATATGCCAGTTATAACAACAAGTCTTTATTACCAGACAATCATAGTGCATGTATGTTACAGATGTTACTTACAAATTTTTGGAGGGCATTCAATGCCCATGCATCTTTGTATTAATTAAGAGTTTTCATATTGCATTACTTACATAACTCATTCACACTGCAAATAAAGGCAGGGTAACTGATAACCCATTTACATTACAAGGTTGTTAATATTAATAATTATAAACTAGGAGGAGATTAGACAACCCACGATAGCTTTTTCATAATATGCCACTTATAACAACAAGTCTTTTATTGTCAGGCAGAGTACTAGAGGTATGATCCCAATCAAATTTTTTGAGGGCATTCAATGCCCAACTTTGTAATAATTCTGAGTTCTCATGTTACATAATTACTGATAACCATTTTCATTAAAGGTTAGTCCTTAGCTATAGCTCTCAAACTTCTCTTATGATAAAATGATGACAACCAACTCTAACTATACCATGCTCATACTCTGCAGTTTTTCAAATCTTAAAGCATCAAAAATTCTAAAATAATAATAAATGTAAGGATAATAATAATGT